GGAGGATGAAGGAGATTTTTGCCATTTAGTCCTTTTTGTGCTGGAAAGTGGAGGAGAGGAGTGGCTGATGGCAGGTGGGAGCCTGGCTTCAGGCATGGGGCAAGGCCTGAAGCAGAGTTGGGCTCCTGAGGAGCCTCTGCTGACTTCATGGTTGTGTTCAAGTTGCACTGTATGTTGGAACAGGCTGTGCTGGCTGGGGTTCAGCCGGAATTTCTGATGCCAGTGATAGCCAGTTTGGTTTTTATGATTTGAAGGTGATGATAGTGCCCTAAGAGTGTGTATTAAACCAGATGAAGGACTGCAGTTTAATTTTTGAGGGCTTGGGATCAGACTTGTAGCCAGTCTGTACAGGGATGAATTGCTATTCTGGTCTACTGCTCTTGAGTACTTGCTTTCTGTGTGTTGGTTTGCTATCCTCCCTTTAGACCTTACTGTCTCAAAAGTCAGGGAGAGCCACAACATATTTGAATAAAATGCCTAGCAAAGACCTGTTCCCAAATGAATTTTAAAGGCTATTTATTGAAGAACAGCAATGAACTTGGTTTATTTTATAACCAAATTCTTCTTTGGCTGCACAGATCAAACGTGTAGTAGAACTGATTCAAGCAAAACCAGGGTTGCTTGGAAGAGCTCAGTTTTTACCTGCTCAGGGGCTGCAGAGTAACCCAGGTCACACATTCCTGAACAAAAACAGGCCAGAGAAAATCCATTTTCTTACATGCCTCTCTCATCTGATAAGACCCAGTCTCTGCAAGGATACTCTGAATAAATCATTGGTAGCTCATCTTAGAGACTTGGTAAATCTAATGAAAATACTGTCTCCAGAAAGGTTCAGGAATGCAACATGTGCTACTGCCCTGCTAATGCTTTACACAGTTTTCCAGACTAGAGTATTTGGGTTGCTTTCATGCAACTGCTATTTATTATTTAAATTATGAATCTGGAAAATTTCCCAGATCTAATGTCTGCCCTGTTACTTTCTGCCTTGGAAACTGCAGATAATCAGATGAGCAGTAAATCTATTCTGTGGGATAGAATTACTATATAGATACATATATATTTTTGTCAAACAACTTGTGATTTTTATTTTCCTCACTCCCATAAAATACCTAGTAGATCAGAAAAAAGAGTAAAATCTGTGTGCCAAATACACAGTATTCCACATGCACATCCAATAATCCATCTGCAGAAACACCAGTGGGACTGCATTTATCTTGGGTAGACAGGGAAAGTCTGAAATAATCCCAAGCACTGAGATGTTCAGTTGGGTGGATGGAGGGAAGTAATTTTGGGTTGTTTGGGGTTTTTTTTTTTTTTGGCACTTTGGTTGGGTGCTTTTATTTTTGTCTTTTATAGCTGGGTTTGCTTGTGCTGTTTCTTCACCCTTTCTAATTGTTTCTGAAGTCTTCCCTGATTTATTTTATTTTGTTTTATTTTTTTTTGCAATTAGACCTCCCTGTTGAGCAGTGAGGGGGGGTTTGCCAGTGGTTTGGGGTGTTACTGTGTGACAAGCTGGTGCTGTGTCCCCGTAGCAAAGCCAAGTGGTGCTGAGGTTGCCCAGCAGGGGGGATCAGGGCCCCTGCCACGCTGAGCTGTTGCCTTGTGGTTCTCCAGTGGTCCCAGTCATTCCTGATGAAGTGATGGTGACATGGGCTCTGGAAAAGAGGAATCAAGAAGGAAACCCACCCCTAGAAATGACCAGTTTGATTCTGAGCCTCTTCACCAAGTGCAAATTACATGTCTTGCCTTGGAAACAGGAGGCTTTTATTTCTTTTCTTTTTTTGCATCGCATGGTGATGAGAAACCAAAGGTCAGGAATGAGCCCCCTGAAGGCTCGTGAAGAACAAAATATGATGTGTTTTCACTGAGGAGAAAGGTTAAGGTGGAAGATCAACATCCAATGGCTGCAGCAAAGGGAAGGAAAGGCTTGTTTGGGCAGAGCCTGGAGTGCAGGCATTGTGGGGAGTGGGAAGTGTGAAACCATGGGGCAGAGAACACACAGCCCCTTAGCCCTGCTCAGAAATAACAGTGCTTTTTTTTTTTTTTTTTAATTTCAGAATCTAGTCTGCCCTAAGTAAAAACAAGTTACATTAAAAACCTCTGCACCAGAAAAAGCAAACCTCTTTTTCCTGGTTTCTGCTTATAAGATTTACAGGTACTTAAAATAAACCTATGAAAAACAGACCTAGTGTGCTGGAATTTGCTAACTAGTGAGAGCAATTACCTCCAGATCCCAAAGACTGAGCGGAGCTCAGCTTTTTGGAAGTAAGGCTTGGCAAGCACTTCTTCCTGCTGCTGTTGTAAAGGTGTACATGAAAAGATGTGCTGACCTCTGCCAGAAACCCCAGGAATCCAGTTCAGAGAGATTCCCCAGCAAAGGGCACGGCTGGATTCAGGCAGCACAGATGGGGATCGGTGTGGAAAAGGTGGCGGAACATTCGCTTCTCATTGTGTGGCTTCAGCGGGGCAGATACTTTGCAATTGCCTGGTGGAGCACAGTAATTAAAAGGGGTCAAGAGCAGTAAGTTTAGATACTTAACAAGAAAATAAAGACCTCACTTGACAGCCAGCAGCGTGTCGGGCTTGTTTCACAGGAGCAAGGAGAATTAACTCAAGTCGCCTTAGTAAAAGTTGATCTGAGCCTCTTTGGCAGTGATTTTGTGTTGCTTCAGAGATCACCTACTAATTAACTATAAATGCTGTAAGAGCTGGAAATCAGGCCCTCTTATGAAACTGATGCCCCAATTTCAGATGACCTGAAAAAAGGGAAACCATAGACTCTGCATCTCTCCTCCTCTTAGTGACATATAAAAAGTAACAAAAGATAAGTAATGAAAAGCACACAGGCAGCCTTTGTTAATATACAAATGTAAAATAATCTCTTGTTTCCTCTGGACTGTTCCACACAGAAGTAGAAAAGTACATTTGTGCAGTGAGACAAGCAAGGTAGAAGTAAAACCTGAGGTGGGAACTGATTTTTATAAGACTCTCTGGTTTGGAGGGTGGAGGTGGTTTCTCCCTGGTGTTTGGAAGGAAATTATTTGTTGTCAGTTTTCTTCATCATTCCTGGCTGGGGAAAGGAGCTCCTGCGTCCCACAGCACTTGTAGAAGGCCTTTGGGAAGAATGAGATTTTCCTCCTAAAATATTAAGGGACAAGTAACAAGAATGTTAAAAAAATAATAATGAAACAGTCTATTAAAGGCTTTCTCCCAGGGAACAGGAACTCTCTGCAGACCATCTTCCCTTGCAAATTAAGAGATGGGACCATCTTTGCTGTTGTGCTTGTAGATTCCCTTTGGACTAAATACTCTTAAAAGGGTCTGTGCTCATCCTGGTGGGAACCAGGGAATCAGTGTCCACCAGACTCCATCAAAACTTGGTACAAAGTGGGGGAGCTCACCTGAGCTCAGCCAGAGGAGGCAAATTCAGTCTCAGCTTCAGCCTCTCCCCAACAATCACTCCGAAGTGTTGCTCATGTCTGCACATTGTAGTTACTAGGTGCAAGAAATACAGTTTTTGAAACTGTAATTAATCTTTTCTAAGTAACCTCTTTTTCTATGCATTTATGGCATCAATGGGTATGACTGTTTATTATGTCTTACCTATAAAATCTGACCTGTTTTATATACTCT